ACACACACACACACACACACACACACACACACACACACACACACACACACACACACACACACACACACAAAATTTACCTGTCATTTGGAAGACAGTTTTAGCCATGGGCCAGTTTAGAAGGTACTCAAATATCAAGTCCTCCCCTTCAATGTAAACTCCATTGGCATCTGTGGGCCATGTCTTCAGCACAACAACAGACATCAGCTTCCCAAACTTTGTGATATCATGTTTCTCCAGCAGAGCTGAAACAGCTCTACCAGTTTTATCCTGCAAAAAGAAAAAACATCATGTACACCAGTTAGGGACCTACAGTAGCACCTCAATTAGGACACAGTGGTAAATTTCTGCCAATTAATGTTTTCTTAAAAAGAAAAAAAAAATTAAAAGAAAATATGAACATCCAATATTTGTCATGCAAGTGCTTTGGGGAAGAGCTCAATATCTAGAAAAGAGGGATGTACTGCCTTAATTACTGCTTTAATTGCAAGAGCACTATTTGCAAAGATGTTTGGTAAGACCATGTTTTTCTTCCTCTGCAAGGTTTCGTGTCTTTGGGAGTCCTTCATTACAGGTACTCATAATTAAAGCATTGTATGGTTTAACTGCTTCACTGCTTCACAGGGGGAGTTACAATTGTGTATGAATAAACACAATAAGGCAAATCTTCTGCACTTGTACATGATGTTATGAAGCATTTTCAACTGCTTATTCGCTACTTCTCACAATCATACCTGGCAAAGACGCTCAACCGCCTCCACTGCACATTTCTCCAGTGTCCTGCTCAACAATGGACTTGTTTTTCTCAGTTCTTCCATCTTGTTAGAGTATATTCCAATTTGATCCTTTGGTCGCTCCTATCACACAAGCACATATCCTCAGTTTTGTTTCTCTAGTGCACATGGAAAGGATGTAGACACAAACACGACTCCAGTGTTACCTGTTTTAGTTTTCCTTCAAAATCTGCCATGAATGTTTCTCTCCAGAATGACGTNAGAGTATATTCCAATTTGATCCTTTGGTCGCTCCTATCACACAAGCACATATCCTCAGTTTTGTTTCTCTAGTGCACATGGAAAGGATGTAGACACAAACACGACTCCAGTGTTACCTGTTTTAGTTTTCCTTCAAAATCTGCCATGAATGTTTCTCTCCAGAATGACGTGTGCTCCTCATGACTGAAGGATAGCGAGAGTAACTTGACCC